CCAAAGACCGCTTCACCCCTCATGAAGAAGAAACGTTCCTTCCAATTTTTATCACTCGACCGGAGGTCGGTCACAAGGTGAGTCTGATCGTGCTTGAGATTGATCAGATATCAACCTTTATCCTTGTCATTTTGTTTCAGGAAATACGAGTATAACAGCTCATGTAGCCCAAACATCACCTGATTCCGCACACAAAGGTCCTCTAGAGCCATCAACAACCTCCACCCATTCGGCATAATCTGGGTCGACGCAATCATAAAATGGTTTAAGACCTCCCAGACAAGACGAGGGATGAGAAGCCTTAGCTCGTCATGGAACCATTTCTCATAGGTGCTCACCCAACCTTTTGCCTCCCAATCGACCCTCTCGTACGACTTCGACATCCTAATTTCGACACCCTAATTTCAACAGACTCTGGGATGTGGTACATCGTCCTGATCTGCCATACATGACTCTTCTTCAATAAAGACGGATAGTCTTTACTCAATATCTCGCTACCTGACCGACTCGACTCGTCCTCGGAGCCATTGCTGGTGGAGGGTAAACTCTCAGAATCATCAACTCCATCGGAGTCTTCCCCACTTGTCCCTTGCCTATCCGACTCACCATCACTCGGGGTGGTGCCACTCGACCTAGGAGCGGCCATGTTCACCCTTTTTGGTATACCGACCGGAATGCCTCCACCCTTTGGCATCATCACCATTGTTAAGGCATTCTCATACTCGTTCCCAACTTTCGTCTTTACCCTACTCAAGTCGCTCAACTCTGACCGCGACATTGAACTCCTTGTCCATTTGACCCAAGTGACCGACTGACTTTCAATTCCAAGTCGAACCCTGTTCCAGAAGCTTCACTCGCCCAAAGCTATCGACCGACTGGTTCTTAAATCAGTTTAACTCTTCGACCTCCAAGTAATTTTCAGCTCAGTCTGGGCGACCGAATACCTACTTCCTCAGGACCACTCGTGCAGATCCCTCACCACTCGGTCTAGAAGACCGGGTGACCCAAGTAATCAACCCCTACCAAAAACCACGATTCTTCACTCGAAGCACCGCACTCGACCTGGTCAAGCAGACCGAGACGAGCTGAATGGGGAACCAACGTAAAACAACTTCATCTTCTAAAACCTAGAAAACCCAAAAAAATCCAGAAAGCATTGAAAACCCAGAATCTCCAAACATGGGCCACACCAAATCAATCCTGAACACCCAAAATCTCCCAAACGCTAAACCTAAGATTCAAAATCACTAAGTTTGCCTACTCCGTTTAACCCAAAAAAATACAGTGCCACCTTCTCAAACTCCCCTAAAATCCATCAAACTCCACTCAAATCTTTCCAAAAACGTTGCAAAAACAAAGAAAAGAAGAAAAGAAACATAAAAGAGTACAAAAGAGAAAGTATTTACCGTAAAAATAGCCAAAGTTCCTGAAATCTTTCACAGCTATGGAGAAAAACCGAAATAGAGAGAAAACGTGAAAATAGAAGAGAGAAATGGGAAGTAAAATGAAATGAATAGCTACCCCCATGAATTTATCAACTAAAGCTGTTAGAGAGCCTATGTGTGGCAAACTCCGATTGGTCATCAAACAGTATGTTTTCATTTTCCTGCCCAAATTTAGAAGACATCTCGTTCGTATACGTGTCGAGAGATGGATTATTCAGTTTCACGTTACCCACTCAGGGTCCGCTCCACCACGTCATGCATACACCATAGGGGTGCTAACCACTCGCTCAGTTCGCCTGACCAAGTGGAGTTAGCATTAGACGTACTGACTGTCCAACCTCGGCTCTCCAGCCTCGTGACAAACGCCGCTAAAGTGAAACACAACCTTCGCCCTCTTAGTCATCCCGACCGAGTGAACTAGCCGTTTGATTGGGAGTGCACATACTCCTATTCATTCGGATTCAACCAATCAGCCTAAGGCACCACCACTAGAGTGACCCAAACGTATTCCACTCGGCTCCATATACCGACTAAGCATGCCTTCATGGGACAACTCGCACACCCACTCACTCGGCTCGATACACCAAGTGAGGACACCTTCATGGGACGTTTTGCATATCTTCCCACCCGCTACGACATACCAAATAAGGATACCTCTAGTAGATTCTTTCATGCTTCCCCTAGATCCGATGCACCGAGCACGTCTATCAAGGTCAACTCCACTCCGTCACTCGGTCAGATACGTCGAGTGAAAGCATGATGGTGTTTCACCTCCACCTGCTTGGCTTAGTGTACCGAATGCATCACATGCAACAAAAGCTATACTATTCGTTCCCGCAAACAGAGAAGTATCACGTTCACATGTTCAACTGGTTGATCGCGAAGGTCGACTAGGTACACCTTCACGCAACGTCTACTCTCTAAGCTAAGCACTCCTTAACTCAGAGAGTGGGGGGTAAACTGTTAGGGCAAAAAAATGTCCTCGGCCCAAATAGGCCCAAAGACGAAGACACCTTCAATAAAACTCGAAGCCAAGGCCTAATTCCGATTGGGCCCGCAATATAGTTTGCATATTAGGTCCGTTCGGTACATTTACCTAGTTGCTCACCATTTTGACCCAATCAGCAGAGGCCCGATTCGTTTAGGCCTCACCGCTAGTTTATTTGGGACTAGGCCCGCTGATCCTAGATCATCTTCTAGACTTAGGATCTACTTGGAGCCCAAGGTCGCCTACTTACCCAATACTATTTGAACTCTATCGAAGAGGTCCATTACTACCCTAATTCGTCTAAGATCCGTGTCTTAGATCCATTGGGACTCCCTTTCCTACTGAGGTAAGGGAGCCAAATGTTCTCCTTTTTCACAAAACCTCAACTCCGAGGACTCTCAGTCCCACCAGGATTTGAAGATCTTACAGTCGCTATTTAAATAGATGTCAACTCTCTCACAAGGGACACAAACATTACACCTTCAGACTTCGCAATTCTCACTCTCGAGACTTTCGCATCACAACCGTAGTTATAGTCTCTGACTAGACTTCTGGTAACCTTCTCTCTCTATAACTCTCACTAAATTAGCATTACTAGGCCTTGCTGGCTTGAGTGTCGGAGTGCCTACGGGAAACACCACCCCAGTGTTTCCCGTTCGCTTTACGCTTGCTTTCTTGCGTGTGCAGGTACAACGGATTGTTAGTGACCTCAACCTCACGAGATCAGACCATATTTTCGTAAAAGATAGATTTTTTGCATATACAGACGCCGTCCATAATTTTTTAAAAGAACAAGAATGGACACCCGTCCATCCTTTTTAAATACAATATCAGATTCAACATTCATTGTACTTTTTCTCAGCATAATCATTCATTTTTGCTGATATTTGTGGCGTAGCTTTGAGGAAAAGAAAGGTGGAAGTTGGCATTCTTCAAATTTTAATTATAAAACTTAAGATTTACAAATTCCATGTTTTAAAACAAAAATGTATTTGTTGTTTGTTTATTTTCTAAGCATTTTTTATTTTTAATGTGTAATGGGCATAGCAGGAGCATATTTGATGCCCCACCTTCAATGTTGGTTGATTATGGACAAAAAGGAGGAAATAGTGCATATTTACACAAATTAAAAATGAAAATGGACGCCTGTTCAGTGTCCATATAATATGGATGAGCATCCATTCTTGTTCTTTTAAAAAATTATGAATGACGTCCATTCGAAGTGGACGTCCATCCATAGGAAATGGACTCCCATCCATATAATATAGACAAGAGTTCATTGTTATTTTGGTATAACAATTCGTCTAAATTGGTGGATGATCGTCAATTTGTAATGAATGGACATCCATCAAATAGACCAACGTCCATAATTGTTGGACAGCCGTTCATTCACGGAAGATGTGTTATAGTATCCAATGTGACGTGTTTGACTTGGATGCCATATAAGTCAATACAATAATTCGGTGAAATTGATCGGTGTTTGTAACATTTTTTTTTTCCATACTGTGAACAACTGTTAAGTTCCCAAGTACAGCCTATGATGAAGCAACAAGAGAATGAAACGATTAAGAACGATGAGTTTCAATTACTTAATAATAGTGGTGGTGAAAAGACAGCAATTTTTTTAAGCTTGTTGAGGACATGGGAAATTATTAAATTATGCTGTAATTTTGTTCTTAATATAATTATATTTGGTAAGTAAGCTGTAGATCTAATCCTAACAAGGATCGCATGTATCAAAACGTGTTTCACCAAACCAAACTACTTGAATCTTTAATTTTAGGTGCAAAATCAATCTTCAGAAATTAAATTATACACACTAAAACCCACCGTGTCCTCAAGAGGACCATAACTTTGGAGAAATACTTCTGCTTTTCTGTTAATCTAAAGCCACTACCCTATTCTATTTTCAACTTGGCCATCCAACATAATTGTTAATTCTCATCCATCCATAATAAGCAAAGCAAAGGTGTAACGTGGTCTCCTTCTCGGCCAGAAATTTGGTCAAAATGACTAAACCAATCATAGAGAAGGAGTAGAGGATTATCGTATGCTCAGCAGTGTCAGATTCTACACAATATTTGAGTCTTTTAGATATCGCATATCTATCTACGAAGCGATCTATCCATTTGTGATTTTTGATGACGTGGTCCAATCAGATGCCACCCTGCCACTTAGTTCCTGTGACATTTGTGCAGGCGGCAGGCCTAGCTGGGGAGAATGGTAAGAAAATAAATAAGAAAGACAATAGTGTTTCTGTTAACGCACTCACTTAACTGTATCAACTTTGATATGAACCACACAACACAAAGCGCATTCAGATTTCTGTTTTGTTTTTTATTGCTAATTATTCAATAATCAATGCCCTTAACCTTAATTCTTTCACTGTTCTCACCACTACACACTAATTTACATTGCAAGGACAGCTCCCATTATATTATATATCTCTTTATTGCTTCTCTCTTTCTCTTTAGCATTCTTCACTGCATGTTCATTTTTGTTTCTGGGCTCTTCTTGTTCTGATATTCTTCATCTCCTTCTTTACTGGGTTTATTGCTTTTACTACTATGGCTCTCTCTGCATTCCCATTTCCTTCTCATGTCAACCGTTCAACTCCAACACTTATTGATCCTCATAAATCAACTTCACTGTCTTCTATGTTCTGGGGTGCAGATCTGTGCTGCCAATCTCTGCACAAGCTCAATCAGGTTTGCAACATTAAAGAAGACACTCTTATTATTACATATTTGTTGCTTGGCTGAGTATAAAGACTTTGTCTTTAATTTAGTTTTAGTTTAGTTTGAATAATAACAATAAAAGAAGAGTCCACCGAATACCGATATTCTTTTTCTTTTTACTTAACGTTGATTTTCTTGTCTTGTATTGAAAAATGAAAAATAAAATTCACTGAAAGAAATGGGCTTTTGTTGTGATTTGATACAGGCCAAGAAAAGGCCAGGTGGGATATTTGCATCACTTTCAGAGAGTGGAGAATATCACTCACAAAGACCACCAACACCTCTATTGGACACCGTAAATTATCCAATTCATATGAAAAATCTATCCATCAAGGTACTTAACTGAAACGCTACAAGTCTACAACTAGTCTTCTTTCATGAAAAAACCAACTTCTTCATATCTTTGTGTGATATTTGAGTAAAAATTTGTAATTTTTCATCAATACAGGAGCTGAAACAGCTAGCAGATGAGTTGCGGTCTGATGTTGTATTCAATGTTTCTAAAACTGGGGGTCATTTGGGCTCTAGTCTTGGTGTTGTTGAGCTCACTGTTGCTCTTCATTATGTTTTTAATGCTCCTCAAGACAGGATTCTATGGGATGTTGGTCATCAGGTTCTATTCCAACCTTACTTAGTTTCTTAATCTTCTTCTCTTATTTTTTGGTATCTTTGTGTAGAGAGACTTTTCTTAACTTGGTCAGGATAATTGTTCTGACTTTGATTGTGCGACTATTTTTGCAATCATGGTTAGGAAAATTGTTCTTACTTTGATTGTGTGACTATATTTTTGCAGTCTTACCCTCATAAAATCTTGACTGGGAGAAGAGATAAGATGCATACCATGAGGCAAACAAATGGACTTGCTGGATTCACGAAGCGATCAGAGAGTGAATATGACTGCTTTGGAACTGGCCACAGTTCTACCACTATCTCTGCAGGACTGGGTAATTTTCTATTGGTTTCCATTCCAGGAGCATATAATAATGATTGTTATTTTATATGTGGAGTTATAAAGAAAGAGCTATACTAAATACTTTCCATAAACAATCATTTTCTTCAAGAAGTTTGGCAACTTGTTGATAATAAATTATTTTCCCAGAAATGAAAGCTAAGTGGCTTCGTTTAATATTTATTTTCTTATTAGTGAGAAGTTGTATTTAGAAAAATAAAAATTTTGTTGACATGTCTCATTAATCTCGTAAGTTGCATATCCTTTGAAAGTGACTTCCAAAGATACACAGGACTTTTTTTCTTGGTTTTCAGTTCCAGGTCATTTTAATTATTATGTTTAATAGACATAGTTTTGGTTCAAATTTTAATATATAATCTGAGATCATTTGGATTAACAGGTATGGCTGTGGGCAGGGATCTTAAAGGAAGAAAGAACAATGTAGTTGCTGTTATAGGTGATGGTGCCATGACTGCAGGTCAAGCTTATGAAGCCATGAACAATACTGGTTACCTGGATTCAGACATGATCGTTATTCTTAATGACAACAAGCAGGTTTCTCTTCCTACTGCCAATCTAGATGGGCCGATACCACCTGTAGGAGCTTTGAGCAGTGCTCTCAGTAGGTTGCAATCGAACAGGCCTCTCAGGGAACTCAGAGAGGTTGCCAAGGTAAGTAAATATCATATAGTAGTTAGGGAAAAGAAAGAAAACTTTCATCCTGGAAACAGATGAAACTAGACATGGTTAATTGTGACTGACACTATTGCAGGGAGTTACCAAACAAATAGGTGGACCTATGCATGAACTGGCGGCAAAAGTTGATGAATATGCTCGTGGGATGATCAGCGGTTCTGGATCAACGTTATTTGAAGAGCTTGGACTGTATTATATTGGTCCTGTTGATGGTCACAACATAGATGACCTCATTTCCATTCTCAAAGAGGTTAAGGATACCAAAACAACAGGTCCAGTCCTGATCCATGTTGTCACTGAGAAAGGCCGTGGATATCCATATGCAGAGAGGGCTGCAGACAAGTACCATGGTAAATACTTATTATCTATTAACAGCACTTGAGTACATAGGTCATACTCATACACTATCTTGCTGTATAGCTGCAATTATGTCTTAAAGAAAACAATAATTTAGGCTTTATGTTTTCATTTTGCAGGAGTGGCAAAATTTGATCCGGCAACTGGAAAGCAATTCAAAGGCAGTGTCAATACCCAGTCTTACACAACATATTTTGCAGAGGCTTTGATTGCAGAAGCAGAGGCAGATAAGGATATTGTTGCAATCCATGCTGCAATGGGAGGTGGAACAGGACTAAATCTATTCCTTCGTCGCTTCCCTAATAGATGCTTTGATGTTGGGATAGCAGAACAGCATGCTGTTACTTTTGCTGCAGGTCTGGCCTGTGAAGGCTTAAAACCTTTTTGTGCAATTTATTCATCTTTCATGCAGAGGGCTTATGACCAGGCAAGTGGAGAACTTCTATATCTCTTCAGTTGATATTACGTTACTCTGTGATAGTTGAGGTAAACTCCAGCTTAGCATCTTACTAAAACTCCCTTCTGGATGTCTACCACAGGTAGTGCATGATGTTGACTTGCAGAAGTTGCCTGTAAGATTTGCAATGGACAGAGCTGGACTGGTTGGGGCTGATGGTCCCACACATTGTGGGGCTTTTGATGTTACTTTTATGGCATGCCTTCCAAACATGGTTGTAATGGCTCCTTCTGATGAGGCTGAGCTTTTTCACATGGTTGCCACTGCTGTAGCTATAGATGATCGACCTAGCTGTTTTAGATACCCAAGAGGTAATGGGGTTGGTGTTCAGTTGCCACTGGGAAATAAAGGCGTTCCTCTTGAAGTAAGTTTCAACTAAGTCACTATTTGCTGCTCCTGCAGTTGCAAAAACATATTAACAAATTTCTATTAAACTGCTTGCAGGTTGGAAAAGGCAGGATATTACTTGAAGGCGATAGAGTAGCACTCTTGGGTTATGGAACCGCTGTCCAGAACTGCTTAGCTGCTGCTGCTTTATTGGAACACCACGGTTTACGGTTGACAGTAGCAGATGCTCGATTCTGCAAACCACTGGATCACGCCCTTATTCGTAGTCTGGCAAAATCACACGAAATTTTAATTACCGTAGAGGAAGGATCAATTGGAGGCTTTGGTTCTCATGTTGCTCAGTTCTTGGCCCTTGATGGTCTCCTTGACGGCACAGTGAAGGTATAATCAAATCGGTTGCAGCGTAAGACCATTTTTTTCTAAATTATGTATTGCTTAGCTGTTGAATACTTAATTCTTTTGGTTGAATTATTCTGTGCAGTGGAGGCCACTTGTACTTCCTGATCGGTATATCGACCATGGATCTCCGGCTGACCAGTTAGCTGAAGCTGGTCTCACACCATCTCACATTGCAGCAACAGTTTTTAACATACTAGGACAAACCAGGGACGCTCTGGAGATCATGTCTTTCAAAAGTTAAACAAGAATACATAATTTTTTGCTTGTATTCTACCAGCAATGTACAAAAAGAAGAATGCAAGAGTTTATTTTTCAGCTTCATTAGTGTAAAAATGCTACAAGTTGCTAGTATTAATACAACTAAAGCTCAAGATGTAACAATTCCAGCCTTATTAGAAATGAAATTACTTTCAAAATTCAAAGTCTCTGTACTATGCCAAATTTTCTGTTAGCTGAGCATTCTCTTAGAGAAAGTCTAGATGGATGGAATGGATGACATAAACAAAGAGAGAGAAGAAATTATACTTCATTCATTGCTCCCTTAAATAAACATGGTGGATTATAGTCAACTGAGTTTATCTTTTTAATTGATTCTGGTATTGACTACAGAGTCAACTAAAACATTTCCAACTAGCCGCTAAAATAGTCAACGAAACTCTTGGAGAAACCAACACTCCACGAAATACAGGAAGTGGAAAGTGTTAGGTAATTAGCAAGGGGACCAAAACTCCTATAATTTGATTGGTGTTTAGTGTTATTGATACATCAATCGTTAGTGCAATAAAGAGAGGGCGGTGTAAGAACTGAGCTTGTTTTGTGAAGACCATTAGGTGTCACCAAGCCTAAGTGCCAACACAAGCAAGAAAACAAACCACTTTTATTTCATAAATTCAATCATTCAATGGGCGGTTCAAAAGGAAAATCCCACTTTCAAGTCCAATAAGATTTGCTTTGTTAGTGGGCGTATGTTGATTGGTTAGATTTAGAGAGTTTGTCAACACAATAAGTTTTGATCACTAGTCGGCTTCCACACTAAAGTTTTTGGTCCTATCAAAACACCCCCACTGAATAAAACACTGCCAAATTTAAAGGACTTGACGTGATTAGGAAATAACGCCAAATAGTCTGGCATGAATGCATCTACTTAAAATCTCTTGAATTTGTTTTAGAAGTGTTAGAAGGTGGAGACACTACAACAAGTTTAGGCTTTTCCCAACAAAATAATTTATCACTATAAATATCAAAATTGTGACCATTTCACTAATATGAGGAATTATATTAGTCACCAGATTAGTCACATTAAACTTGTACTCTTAAGTGTATGGTGACGAAAGAGTGTTTGGTCATCATAGCCTAATTATTTATTATGATAATAATAATTTGTCATTGTAAACTAGTTTATTGTGATAAATTATTTGTAACAATAGAATACAATTTTTATCACTATAAGTAATATTTTGTCACAATTGATTTACATTTAAAGACCAAATGATAAGCTTTATGGTGAGAATATAATATATGATGACGAAATTGATTTTGTCAAAATTGTGACAATAATGATTAAATTATATTCTCATAATTTTAATAGTGACCGAAATTTATTTGTCATTAACTTTATTGTGACAATATTTATTTTGTTACATGTTTGTTTATATGATAATATTATTTGTCAAAAATTGCATAGTGAACTAAATAATTTTGTAAAAAAATTTAATAGCATGACAAATAATTTTTAATACAAATAATTTTACATGATAAATTTTTTATTGACAAAATAATATAGTCGTGACAAATATTTTTTGTCATCTCAATATACTTTGTTTCTCTTTCTTTGCATAACCCGTCTTGCATATTTTTCTAGGTAAAAGGTAATTATATAAAGAATAAAAGAATTGAGTCCCAAAAAGAAGAGCCCCACAAAATCAAGTTTCTTAGACAAGCCCAAGCAACCAAGCCAAAGAAAACAAAAAAGGTGACATGGATTTACGTTCCAAAAAAGCCACCAAGCAAGCCTCAAAGAGGACTCTACAAAATGACCGCAACACAAAAACAATGTCGAACTTTGGTGTACAAAGCCAACTGCATATACTATACACAAAAGAACCATCCACCCAAAGAACCCAAATATTCTGCACAACTACTAAAATCCTGCTTATATAAGCAACCAAAATAAAATGAGTTTGTAATTATAGCATGTATTATTAAATATAGTGACTAAAGTTTTTGATGACAAATATGTTTGTCACAATAAATAATTTATTTCAGTACTTAAATTTTGACTTAAATATTTTGTCATTAATACCTCTATTTCAGTATATATTATGACAATTTTTTTAATAATAAATAAATAATTTTTTTTAATAATAAATAAATTCTTTTTGTGACAAAATAATTTATAGTTATAACATGTATAACTAAATATAGTGCCTAAAATGTTTTATGACAAAATATGTTTGTCACAATAAACAATTTACCTAGGTGTTAAAATTTTGCGCCAAAAATTTGTAACGAAATATTATGATAAAAATGTTTTTCTTCACTACATTTATTATGGGTTTCTTTGTTGTGATAAAATATTATGACAATATTTTTTTTAATCACTGTATATTCTCTTTATCATATTTAATGTGATATTTATTTATTTTATCATAATAACTATATTAGTCGTGACAAAATAACATTTAATACAATTGATTTTATCACAATATAATATATTTATTGTAGTGAGAGTTATATAAGATACATATACATAAAGATCATCAAAATGGTCCAACAATAGTATGACAAATACAAAGAAATTTATAATGTAACTGAGTAGAGAGGTTAGTTTTGAAACGTAATCAATACCATGAAATCCAGTGATCGATTAGCCAAGTAATTTGGTCTAAAACCAAATGAGACGTTTTAGTTTTACATAATTAAACAAGCATTTGGATTCTCATCACTGAACATCATCAACACTTCACTCTCTTTACAAAAATCAAACAACCATATCTCACCAACTGGTCGCTTGCCATTATTTCCTTCATCAATCCCAGGTTTTGGCGACCCTTTCTTCTTACTATTATTAACCACAATCTCCACTCTCTTCCCTGTCTTTTTCTTCAGTTTCTTCATCACTTTTTGTGGATCAATCCGCCCCGTAACCACAACTTCGTGCTTCTTCATATTTGTAGAAAATTTCTCAACCCCTTACAAAAAAATATTAATTAATTGTATTATACTATGGTTTACATCATGAAAAAATTGAATTAATGAATTAATGTACGTACCTTTCAACTTGGAAATGGCCTTAGCGACTGTTCTTTCACATGCATTACAATGCATTGATACCTTAAATTCTGCAACAACCAACTATATATATATATATATGTAAAGAAGCAAAGATATATAATCATACTTGTGAATGAGAGTTTAATTAACTTTGAAAAAATCTTACTTCCAGATCTTCATTTTTCTTCTTTTTGGCCATTGGACCTGTTAAAAGGAAGATACTATACAATTACGTAGAATGAAGCAAGTGAAGAGTTCGAGCGATCAGTCGTTTTCCTCACAAAGGGTAGTTTAGAATTTGTAGGCAATAAGAGAGCGGTTAAGGCAGTTATATGTTGAAGACAAATTACGAACAAGAGATCAGTGTTATGTCTGAATGGAACATGAGATGAGATTGTTTTAAACCGCCTATTAAACAGTTACTTCGGATTGAAACTTTGATCGATTTCCACAGTTACCCAAATCAACCATTTCTCAAGTCAAATTAAGTTTCAATTATTCTATTGAACCTCTCTCTCTTCGTAATTGTTAATACTTTTTAATTTAGAATAGAAAAAGGATAAAGAGTTATTGAATCGACAATATTATTAAATATTATATATATATATATTTTTTAATTTTAAGACCTTATTATGAATTAAAAAGATCCCTGGTGACCAATTATTTAATCACAAAGACAACAAAAATTAAAACATACTTTTATTATTTTCAGAAATCATTACTTGTAGCGACATACGATACATTTGCTGTACGTAGCTATACGTAATATTACAATTTATTATTCATCATGCGTACAAAATATTAGTAAACATGTATAAAAAGTCAGCACGTCCGAGGTGACCGATGATGTGAGAAATGGTAGATTCTTATGTTCATTGAGGATTCACCAGGCGACATTGTTTCCTGATTTCTCCAGCATTTCCTGCTCCTATGTTTCCCATCTTCTTCATAGAATCAGAAAAAGCCTTGAAGAAATCTTTTGACTTCTGAAGCTTTTCCACTTTCTTTTCTGCATTTTTATCCGTGAGCAGTGCAGCATCAGATTGCAATAGGCCCTTGTTTTGGAGCAGGATATTGAAGTAATTGCTATCAAATGTGGAGGAACTATTAGGGTCAAATTCAACAGTTGTGGCACGATTATTTGGTGGGCACTGAACTTTTAGGAATTCAGCGTAAGTTGCATTTAGGGAAGGATCGACATCACTGTTTTCGGTAAAGTTGTAAAGCCTATTTGAGAACGTTGCGCAACGAGCAACACCAATGGTATGGGCACCTGCCAGCTCAAGGGCGTTGCATGATTTCAGTTTACACAACTCTTGAATCTTTGTACGTACTTGCATTAAACTTATGAAAGTCTTTAATTAAATTAAATAATTATACCTGATAGAGCAACAAGATCGTCATCGTCAAGACCTTTACTGGCAAATAAATTATGAAGTGTGGTGAAGTTTGAGAATGATGAAGGGATATTGTCTCCAGTGACTTCAGATGCAAGGGAAATATTGCCATCTTTTCTTCCAGTAAGCACAGGCCACAAAGGCTTAAACTGCAATTAAACCATAGTAAACAAATTTTACCTTATGCTTCTTATATAGTTCAAATAATATATAGTTAAGGCCAGGGCATACCGGCGGGATGGAATCAAAATCAAGATAAGGCAAGAAGGAAACAGAATCACGAGCAGCCAAGGCGAGAATATCAGCACAGGAAACAACTGCAGGGCAGAGCTTCTCTATTTCAGTTTTGATTTCATCAATTTCATCATATCCTTGCAGGGTTGTATGAGCTATTGCATCCTTTTCAGCCTTGGTGACATTGTCCACCGCATCCAGCAATATAGAACCATCGCAACCCTGCCATGCATGCCATGTCAAGTTCAAAACAATAAAGTGTTAAGATCAAACTTAAATACTGTTAGATTTGGTAAATCTAAATTATCCATTATCCAATCATGACATTATAAGTTTAGCTGCATGCAATTAATTGGTTCCATGAGGCGATAGGGATGACATATATACCCTAATAAAACAATCATGGAAATGCAGTCTAAGCAGTTTAGCACCCAAAACAGGTCTAGCTTTAAGTTGTCTCCATGTGATGTTCCTCACAAGCTCCTCAGCTTTTGGACAACTTGTCTCGTATTGGTTCT